CTTGAGGCTGGTTTTCTAACCGATTGGTGACAGTACGTGAACCTAATTGATACGTATTGTACGTGAACTGTATTTTATCGATGTAATTGGTATGGATGAGCTGGATTTTTTTTTGTAAAGATAAATGCTGCTGATGCTTGATTCAGCTAGTGCAGGCACCGTGGTGGAATGGTAGAAAAAGCAGTATTGAATTAAACAGGCATTAGCATGCATTAGTTAGTCGATAAATCACCGCATCCGTTGGCATTGCTGAATTTAGCCACACGAGGGTTGTGCTGCGGAGGCCAAGAAGGTTTATTCGAGACATGCAGAATCCATTAGAATTCTAAATTAAAGAAGTAGTCCATCTTTCAAAGTAAAGTTGAAATTTGATTTCAAAAGAATACACAAAGTCCTCCTCCACAAATTACTTTGATCAATTTAAAGCGCCCTACATGTTTCGGCGCTAGAAGACCTCTTCATCAGGGGCTATCGCTCACATATTACAAGGTATTTTAGGTCGCTAGACTCCGCATTTGGCAGAGGAAAAGGAACAGAAAGTTGAAACATTGAAAAGTTAAGACATTAAAAAAGACAAATGTGAAAAAAATCAAAAAATTAATAGATTAATTGTATATATAATTTTATTTTTTCTTTAATTTTTAATAATAATTGACTTCACTACGTAATATTTTGTCAATTATTATTTTTATATCGCGAAACAACTCCATGGTTGTGTGTTATCTACAAAATGGTCAAGGAACTACAAATTTTAACCCCAGGCAGCCTGTTTTTCCTCCAATAATACGGCGTCTATTTCTTTATTTTCCACTATGACTCTGTGCTGAGCTACCATCTGGACCAGGAACATTTTCTCTCGGTGTACTTGGTCGCCATAATTACTTGTGCATGAATTTCACAAAAAAATCACTATTTCTACAGCTATATAGCTTGTTAATATATGATTCTATGCGAAAGAGTATTGAACCATATATCAACAATGACAACCTAATGACAAACAATACACATTTCGTAGAAAGCGGTGTTGTCAGCTGCAAAACTTAAGACGAGGCTTCCTTCAATAAGAATTCTTTAATTCGCAACTATGAAACGCCAAAGTCACAAACCACAAAGGAGTCCTTATTCAAGGCGACCTTCAAGTCGCAAGGAGTCCTTAATTTGAGGTGTGACTGAGAATACGGGCCTTTAGCCTCCTCACTTGAAATAGTCACGAGCCGCTACTGGCCATAGTGCAGAGAGAGATGCAAATCCCTCTTGTTTGTTGTTCTTCCTGGCACAAACCCTCGCGTAGAAACAATTATGCAGCCGCCTTTCCAGTGTGTTTGTTTAGTTCATTGATAATTTTAGAAGGTTTGACAATTTTGAAGGTACTAATAGGTAAGTATACTTTAAAAACTAAATGTCACTAAAAATCATTGAAGCATGAGCTTCATTCGTCAACGATTTTGCATGCGAGAATAATGACATTCTCTCACCAAAATTGAGAAACTTGTTTTTCCTATTTGGTAGTACCCCAACGAACTGATTTTTGGTCGGCCTATAGTGATAATACAGCTAAATGTGGTTTAGTGCCGTATCCAAATCTTAGATGGCGCCATGACCAAAAGTCTCCCATCATTTGAATGTGTAATCAAAAGAAAGAAATAGATAGTTTATGTAGTAAAACTCCGCTACACCTGAGGACAATTGATGGGTTTGGAAGAAGCCATGATACTTCGTAACTGGTAAGTCCGATGATGTATATAATTGATCATGTTTCTGATTATGGTTTCATTCAGTTGATATGATCCCATACGTTATCCAACAAGTTAGCGTTTGTCAATAGTATATTGTGCAACAAGTGTTGAAAGTGCTTTTCACATGCGTTACACACTATACTTTTTCTACGACTGCGAAATAACTAATTTTTTTCTTTGTCAAAGAATTATTATTTAAGGTTATAATAAGCGATCAATTTTGATACGTACGCAGAATACACTCGGAGTTGCTTGCAGAACAAAAATTCAGTGGAAGTGTCATTTTTATTTTAGCGTGCGCGAAAAGTACTTTTCGCACGGATGGAGAGTGTGAAAAGTACTTTCAGCACGCTGTGCGGAATAATTGATTTTCTAGATAAGTTAGTATCTAGTGCATTTTTAATAGCTTTCTAAAGTATTCGTGAAAAAAATATATATTCCAACCGGTGCTTTTTCCAAGGTCCACAAGGCACAAACTGACTGGTAGTATCATATTCAGTGAGCACGTGGAACGCAGGAAGATTTTTAACCAAGATAAGGTCCAACTGTATTTCATGCGCGGATATAAAACGAACTTTTTGTTTCTGTTCTCATTCAAACTTCTTTTGTCGATTGAATTTTGAAGTGTTATAACAGTAAATTCAACATTTTCTAGATATTGCGAAGTTAAGGTGAGCGAATACTACACTGAGAAAATCCCGCCAACTAAACTGTTTAGTTACTGTTTTTTTAGTTCTGGTAATTAAAAATGATCGAAAATGTAATTGTAGTAACAAAACATGGTTATTTACTGCAGCAATTTTTTCTATTTTTCCTCAATAGTTGTGATTAATATACTCTTATTAGTAGCAATTGGAAACATTTGTTGTTTATTCAGTTTTACTAAAATTCTTTGCTGGGATAACAGAGGTCCCTTCTGGGTTTAATAACTTCAAGTCTTGAGTTATAACTAAAATTACTCGTACTGTGAAAAAGATTATTATTACCCACAACAATTTTTTGTTTAGCTTTTACTAAAATGTTTAGTTAAATCTTGTTTTCGGGTAACCTCGGTTCATTCGGTCGAGCATTTCTTTCCGAATTCTTTTCAGTTCCAATATTCATCACGCACAACTCACAAGTCACCGTACGTTGTTGCACGTCAATGTTGACGAATATCAACGACGACAGCAACTAACTAGCAAGAGCAAGAAAATATTAACTAACTAGCAAGAGCAAGAAAATATTACCTATAAATAAATAAGTAATTATTATTTTTTATGCGTGATTTGTGATTGATGCTTTTTTATTGCATAGCCAGGTGGGGACATGACGTACAAGGTATTATTGCTAGAGTGGGGATTGGAATCGTTTTCCGATTTATTTGAGGGTGAGTTTGAATTGTTAGGTAACCAATAATAATATACGTTATTTGAGGCAGATTTACGGCTTACGCAGCTCTCAAGCCAAATGCATAATGGATCATTCTGGTGTTAGTATGCATAATTCAACTTCTTCGTCTCCTTCTGTGCAACAGAAAAAAGTGTTTTTATGTGCATATAAATTCAGAAGCCTAAAGCAAAAGAGACAGTATATAAGTACCTACACCAATAACCTATTAGATATTACCTATAGGTACCTTTGCTTCCGTATGTATTGTGTATTATTATTTATCTTGACTTTGAAAGTAAAGAAGCTTGCTAGAAATATAAGTTTGTTGTATTTTCTTAAGTTGTTTTCATAAGAATTTATTTTTGAAGAATACCTATTTATTTATTTTTGGTAAACTACATTGCCAAGGTTGCTAATTTTTCTACGACCATAGAAAAGTTTATTTTTTTGTTGGTGATTTGAGATGTGATCTAGCAATAGTTTAACACGTGATGCCTTAACTACTAGACCGTCAAATAATGACAGATTACAAATGTAAATTTTTTTCGAATAATTTTTTTTTCAAAACTGTCTATTTGTTTATACTGTCTTAATTTCCAATAAGTTATACCTAGTATTCTACCCAGCCAGCAGTTAGAAAAACAAAATAAGTACATGAAAATTTATATAGAATTAATAAAAAAGACAAAATTGTCCATTGAAATCGCTTTTGTTTGAATTGAGAAAAAGAGTTAGTTGAACAACAACATAAATACCTCAGTATATAAATATCAAAAGGACTATGATTAAAAATAATTTTAAATTATAGTTAAAGTTGAAGTGCTTTATGCACCTGTAAAATATTTTCTTACTATAATTTAAAATTATTTTGTAATCATAGTCGTTGCGAGATCTATATACTGCAGGTATTTAGGTTGTTTTTCAACTAACCCAATTTTTTAATTCTAACAAAAGCGATTTGTAATGATAACTAAGTTATTATTAGCCACAAGTAAATAAGTTTTTCAATACAACAACATTTGTTTGCAACGGCAACTAAGTTGTTTTTAGCCACAACTAATTATGTTTTTCATTACAACAATATTATTTGCAATGACAACTAAGTTATTTTTAGCCAAAACTAAAGTCTAGTTGGTTGTAACTGAACTTTTTAGTTGTGATGAAAAAAACTAGTTACTAACTGCAACTAGTTCTAATTAGTTACAGCAATAAGATACTCGACCAATTAACTAAATTTATTTATTTGCGACGACTATGCGTTCTAGTAGATAAATTTTAGTTGTCGCAACAAATTTGGCTAGCTGTCCCCTATTTTTTGCTGCCATAATTAATTTTTTAGTAATGGCTACAAGTTTTTTTCTCAGTGTAAATCATTAAGACACTTTTTACGAGGAAGCGGTACCGTCGCCCGTTTAACTACGTGCTTTTGGCGCACATAAACTTATTTTTTTTTCATTGTGGACATCGGCCACAAGTGATGATCCTACTCATATGAAAATAATCACGACGTTCGATTGATTAACCTATGAAAATGAGAAAAGTGTTATTTTCTACATTTCATCCTCTACAACCAGCCTGTACCGGAAGAATCTTTAACAACCAGCGGATTTAGCTTAAATTGGAGTTAAGGGATCGTTTTAAAAAAAAAATCAGCTTTTAATAAGACAATGCAAACAGAAATCGTTTCCATACGACTTTTAGGTGACCGTGCACTCTACTATATAGAGTATATAGTACAGCAGAACCACATCCTTTCATTTTTCCTCTCCGCTTTTATGAGATTATCGGCAACCTTGTGAACAGAGTCACTTTTTTCTCACCTTCTCACTCCACTCTCTCATTTCTATTTTTTCGCTTTTTGTCTTTAAGCAAACCAATTAAAGAATTTAGTTTTTCGGAAGAAATTCATATTTTTTCTTGTGATTAACAAGGAATGGATAAATTAAATATATTTATGTATGTAGGTTCAAACAAAAAAACACTACAGTCTATTTTTTCCCAAGATAGATTTTGACATTGAAAACTTTGAAACATTGGTCGCAAAATGGGGTGTGCCTACAGGTTGACATCAGTTTTACAATGCATGTCGTGCAAATGGCATTTCACGACCAATAAGCGGCATTAGCGGCATTGTTTATGTTTCAAAGTTGACAGTGTCAAAATCTATCTTGGGAAAAAATAAACTGCATTGTGTTTTTATAGTATTAATATCTAATAATCAGGCACCCAAGGACCGCTGAGAGTAATTCCTGGATGATTAGCTCTATTATTGCAATAGTCCTCATTACACTCCTCACAATGGAATACTTCAACCCTGTCATCCCAAGCATCATATAAATCTTTTTTAATTTTGTCACATCCTTTTTGATCATTGCAACCTCTTCTGTACCTATAAAAATACACATTTTTTCATATGATACATTTGGATTTATGAAAGCTACATGATAATCCATGAAAAAATATGATTGGATAGAAAAGAGAATTAGAAAATATTACCTTCCAAAAAATTCTTCGGCCAATGAGTTCTTATATTTATTTTGAATTTTAGCCTCATACGTGACACAGCCAAAACGACATTTATCCATGATTCGCCAACCTATACCTTCGCAATTGCCATACCTACTATCGTCATTGCAGAAGTAACATTTTGTGGCCTCTAAAAAACAAATAATTATTTCGCAACAGAAAAATTAAAAACAAAAAGGTTTAATGGATTTTTTTTTTTAATTATTGCTACCCCCATTTGCTGCGCAGTCGTACTCAAAAAATTGCGCGTGTTTTAAAGACTATTACCATTACCCTATTACCTATAATATCCACTCATGGTAGGGTTTTTGGGAATGCCCGATTCAATGGTGGTATTTGCAATGTTGTCAAGTTTATCATTTCTAAGATGCTGTATGTAACTCAATTTTTTTAAATGAAAGTCCCTCTTTATTCTTATTGTAATTAATTCAGTGCCCCAACATTACTGAAGCCCCTAAATGCCGAACCTCGATTTGACTTGGTTTTTGAAGCATGGCAACACTTTTTTTTTAAGAAACGGTATTTCAAGAGGCTTCAGAAAAATCTTATGAATGCCAAGGATAAGGCGTAGGTATTCAAAATTTATAGGGGGGTTAGTAAGCCCAGGTAGCAAATACAGGGTGTCCCAGCCGAGAGTGATCTATTTCACATGCTTATAACTTTAAAACCAGGTGAGCTAGTCACCTGCGGTTTGCGCCTGTCGATTTCTCTTGGCCTAAAGTTTTTTTCAGTAGGTTACACATTTTTTTCACTCTTATACAGGGCGATTAAAAAAATCTGTTTTTGAACATCAAAATTATCCACTATTTTTAATGGAACACCCTGTATATCACAACGTCGGAAAAAGACTCGTATGTTCCAGGTATTCATGTATCAATAAATATTCTACTTGAAACTTGAACTTTCAGCTGTGAGAAATCAAAATCAAAGTTCTGGTATTTTGGCGGGGACATGCACCCTGTATTTCTGAGGATTGTTTATATCCACCACCTATATGGACAGAAGTAACTTCGGATTTGCATGGAACAACGAATGCATGTGAGTCGTACCATTCAGATTTGAATGCTAACTTCATAACCACTCGAATAAGTGTAGAAAATTTGTTAAAAAATATACACTTCAAATGAGTGATATTTTTTTTTTTGTCACATAGTATATATCTTCTTGAAGGTAGAATAATTGAATAGGTACCTAATAAAAACATAGTAACATTATTTCTCTTACCAATTACAGCGACCAATGAAATGACGCAAAACAAAATTTTCATAAGCATGATGAAAAACGAATTATTTATAGATTTAAATATTGCTTCGCCTTTTATACATTTTTTTTTTAGACTAATTTCGCTATACTCATTAAAATATTGCTATCATTTTTCATATGCACATTATCAGACACAACTATTATATTTTTATATTATAATTATGTACATTATCAGTAAATATTTGAAAATTAGACAAAATTAAAAGAGAGAAAAAAATAAAATAAAATAGGTAAAGAACTGGAGTAAAAAACACAGTCTATCTTCACTGGGGTGTATACATCAAAAAACTATATAGGGAAATATGGTCATATACGATATGCCTAAGCATTAATAGTTATCCAGCAAACATCGAATCATCCCATAGAAGTATTAAAGACAGTGACGCTTTAACCTTTCTCAGGCTCGTAGGTCAATTATTTGGCATGGCCTTTCATGAGTGATTGTTCTTTTTTATAAGGTTTAATAAAATAATTTGGACGATTTCAAACTACTAACCTGGCAAAATATGGAGACAAAAAATGTTGCCAAGTAGTATTCGGTGAAATCAAAGAAAGGTAGGTACTACAAAATGATGGAACAAGAATGGTCACAAAACATGCTATATGGTCAGAACGTCCCAAAAGAAGATTATGGCATTGAGCTCCCAGTCTACCAATCACCACATATGGATGCTGGGGACTAAGTGTACTGATGGGTGTTTCAGAAGGACAGCTGCATGGCTTCGGATCAAATCCATTAGCGAGGAAAAGATGCATAAAGGCCAAAACTCACTAGCAACACGCCACGCCACCCCACGCCATGTGACACAGGTTCACGTGGGACAGTTTGTACGCAAATGGACGGATGGCGTGGCGTGCCATGTCGTGGTATCGCGTATGGCAAGTGTGTACGCAGCACATATAAATAAATGGAAGAATATACGCATACATTTTCGTCACATGACGTGGCGTGGCGAAGCATGACGTGGCGTGTTGCTAGTGGGTTTCGGCCTTAAGGGTTGCAACTCTGAGGAAAATTCGTACCACGTTGCCTGTGCATGTCCTACAAGCTCAACAACAAGGCACGAATTCGTGGTACACTGGACCCTTAAGGTAATACTCGAGTCCCTAGATGCTCCAGAAGAAGCTCAAAGAAACTTACAATTTGACAAAGCAGCGCAATAACTAACAGATTGTAGCAAAACGCCCCAAGTACCTACTTTATTTAAATTGTTAGATGGTAAATGGCGAGCGGTATATTGAAGGTGTTATTATATACTTGGAGTTGCTATCTAAAATCTGTGGAAGAGGGTCTATTTGCAAGAGAGAGAGAGAAAATAGGGTACTTGCATGTAAAATTGAATTGATTATTGTTTATCGCAAACTGTATGAAATCTAAAAAAAATCGTTAAGTACTTTTTTTCATTTCGCCCAAATATGATTATTCCGGAGGTTATACAAATATTAAGTTTTGTATATATAGATATACTGAGCATGTGCGACGTCACTAATTTATATGATAAGTGACGTCATAGGCATATTTCATAGCGTTGTATCTCCGTCAATTTTTGACTAAGAAGAAAAAGAAAAAACACGTGTTGACTTATTTTTCATGGACTATCGAAATCAGCAATAAAAAAATTTGATGCAAGTAGCCTATTAGAGAATTTAGTTTTTCGGAAGAAATTCATATTTTTTCTTGTAATTAACAAGGAATGGATAAATTAAAGGAACTGTCTAGAGTCCCGAACGAGGGATCGTTAGAAAAACGGAAAATCCCGAAAAGGCGTGGCTGAATAACTGCGTTCGGGACTTTTCGAAAATTATTCTAATCCCGACTTCGGGACCATGGTAACAAAAGGTAACTCCCGAATTTATAATATTTTTTTATGTATTATTTGTTTTTCCTATACACCTAGGTTAGATTACCCAACTGCTGTGTTTTGGGCAGTTTTGACTGAAAATTTGTATCCTTTATTATGGGTTTAAACACAAATGACACATTTATTGGTTCATAGTTCATATAAAGAATTACAAGATGCTATTGATATATGAGAAAGAAAATAGGGTGCAATTTTCGAAACGGGATGCAAAAGTAACACATCCGCGAAGCACCATGCCCCTAATTTATACAAGATAGTTAAAAATAAACCTGATATAAGATAAAAATATTAAATAATCCCTTATCATGAACAAGTTGTTTTTGATAGGTACCCCTATCGAGACTTATGAGATTCAGGCATAGGCGCCGGAACCATGGGGTCAATGGGGGCACAAGCCCCCATAGTGATTTTGGTATTTTGTAGTGGGTGTAGGGGGTAGGTATGGAAAAATATTCAGTTCCTTTTATATCAGCTTGTGAGTTTTATGCTTTTGTTGTTTTTCCCATATCTACTTTAAGAAACAGTTCGAATATTTTGTTGTGTAGTACCTACATATTTCAACTGATTTTCAATAATTCGTTGCATCATCATCATATCACATGAATAGGTATATCATGATGTACCAATACACTGACTTTTTTTACCTAGTTTATCATCATTTATATACAGACCGGACCAACCTATTAGACACATAGGGAGTATTAACATGAATTAGCTTGTACCTGGTTAAGGCGAATCGAATCGGTGCTGCCCACTGGCGTTGCCAAGGAGAGGGATAAAGGGGCATTTGCCCCCTTCCCCCAAAGGCCTTAAAATTTTAGTATTATTATAAAGAATTCAATTTAAAATTAAAATAAACAAAAAAAACAATTCAAGTCCTAGGTAAATAATCAAATACATACATAGGATATTATAAAATATTTGGCTTGATTTTCTTTGCTTTTCCATCCATAGACGCGTTTCGACCTATCAGGTCTCATCAGTATGGCTAGGAAAAGCAAAGAAAACCAAACCAAGTTTCGTGCCTGTAGGCAATATACACATAGTACAATGGTCGAAATTTGATCGTGGCGCCATCTAAGACAAAGCTTCAACACCAAACAGCAATTTTCGCTGAAATATGGTGACTGAGTATCTAATCGGCCGACCAAAATTCAGTTCGTGGGAAAACCCAGAATAGGAAAACCTATTATCCACTGATGAGAAAATATTTGGCTTGATTTTCTTTGCTTTTCCATCCATAGACGCGTTTCGACCTATCAGGTCTCATCAGTATGGCTAGAAAAAGCAAAGAAAACCAAACCAAGTTTCGTGCCTGTAGGCAATATACACATAGTACAACGGTCGAAATTTGATCGTGGCGCCATCTAAGACAAAGCTTCCACACCAAACAGCAATTTTCGCTGCAATATGGTGACTGAGTATCTAATCGGTCGTTTTCTGGGTTTTCCCACGAACTGAATTTTGGTCGGCCGGTCAAAGTTATATGTAAACACAACAGGTTGGAACACGCTCACGCACTATAAATGATCGAAAGCCCTGGTTTCGTAGCTTTGAATCGTCTACGGCAAGGATAGTTACTTACGCACCTGTATTTAGGTGATATGTGCCAGGGTGTCAATTAATTTGAAAAGTAGCAATCGGGAATATCTCTTAGGCAAAAAATACTCAAGATCTCAAAAATGTATCGGGGGAATTGGGGGCTTGGACGGGGGACCAAAATGCACTTTTTGAGCCATCCCGTCACCCCTTATGGCAGTGGTTCCCAAACTGGGGGGCGCGCCCCCCTTGGGAGGCGTGAAGCAACAACAAAGGGGGCGTAAGTCGTCTAAAAATTAATACAAATTTTGAGCTTTTGAGCGGTTGAAATTTAAAAAAAGATGTCTACAATCTGGCAACAGCGCATACCTTAGCCAAAGCAGCTTTGCAATGCGATCATTGATACAGCGTACGCTCGCTGCCCACTGTCATGCCAATTCCTCCTCTTCTAAAGTCCAGTTCAGACGAGTTACAGTGAGTAAAATGTATAATGGGGAAAAGAAGAGGGGCGCGATCACTTCTTGATTTCAGAAAGGGGGCGCAAAAGAAAAAAGTTTGGGAACCGCTGCCTTATGGGGTAGCTACGCTACCTTTTTTTTTTTTTTCAATATACAAACCTACCTTTGTGCTGCATATCGTTGGATAGCTCGTTGCTTTCCCTTCACAGTCTTATAGCAAAATCTAAATCGTACGATTAGGCAGGGCGACAAAAAGTGCCTCATTTTGATTCCCCCTCCAATCCCTCGATACGTATTTGAGATTTTTCTGATAGTATTTTTTGTCTGCGAGATATTCCCGATTCCTATTCTTTTCCTATTCAATTTCAAATTGTCTCCCTGTATACCTAAGTATCTCCGAATTGGTGATTTTCTAGATACTTTAGAAAAAATGTTTTAAGTTTTTTTTATACATTTATGTATGATGATTTTTCAGACTCTGAAGTGCCCTTTTTTATCGATGAAAAATGATTTTGACCCCCCCTATATATTTTTTTTCTGCGGGCGCCCCTGGGGAACAATCCATGATTCAGCGTGGAGCGTGGCGATCTTGCAGCGAAATGGGTACTTGTCAACTGGTTCCATTCAAGCCTATGTGTCTAGTAGCCTAGTCCTGTCTGTGCAATCAATTCTACTTATGTTATTTTTGGAGCCCGAGCCCCCATAGAAATTTTGAAGTTCCGGCGCCTATGGATTCAGGACTATGATGAACAAGAGCAGCAGTTTGAAAATTATGAAATAATCCCTAATCAGGAACAAGTCGTTGATACCCCTATCGAGACTTATGAGATACACATGGACTATGATAAACAAGATCAGCAGTTGGAAAATTCTAAGATAATAATAATTATTAACAGATCTACAAAATAAGATGTCAAAGTTTCTTTTCCATTTTGTTAACCTACTAGAAATACACGATATTTGTTTTCTGCTACTTCCTTGTTTTTCTATTGATTGTCTTATAAAATTAAAAGTCGGGAGTTTACTTCTGTTGCAACAGTACCAATGTCGGGATGCGCCTAATGTTTGGAAAGTCCCGAACGCCGTTATTAAGCCACGCCTCTTCGGGATTTTGCTTTTTTCCAGCGATCCCGCGTTCGGGACTCTAGACAGTTCCTAAATTAAATATATTTATGTATGTAGGTTCGAACAAAAAAAACACTACAGTCT